GTCTTGAGAGCCCGCGCCCGGCAGGACGCACCAGCCTCCGGAGCCCCCACGGCGCCGCCCTGCCTGAATTCCCCCAGATCAGCACCCTCACCCCGCAGCGACCCCGACCCCACCAACCCGAGCGTGAGGAGAAGGAAACCGAGGGGACACGGGCAGCCCTGCCCCCGTTACCTGAGGGTCGCACACGCCGCTGCGGTGACCACCATTGCCGCCTGTCCCGTCCCCTTCCTGGTGATCGCGACCGTCGCCTCCGAGCAACTGACACTGACTAACAACAACTAACTAACTACTCGCCGCCGCCGAGTCCACCGCGCGCTCCCGGCCGCTTGCCGCCCGACCAGCCCACCAGCCTGCCCGCTCCTCCCAGCCCCGCGCGCCACCCCGCCGCGCGCACCCTTGCCCGCTGCGCTCCTCGAGGAGCGAGCACGCGCACGCGCACGCGGGCCCAACTCGCTCCCGATTCTCTGCTCAGTCTCGTGGGAGGAGTCGCCTCGAGGCCGTGCCCCTCTGCGTTCCAACCTCCCAGGGCGAGACGTACCGGGCGCCTGATTGGCTGAGGAAGGTGTGGCCAAAGAAAGAAGGCGGGACGACTGGGACCTTGAGACGCGTGACAGGAAATTTGGGTTCAATTAAATGGTAAAGAAAAGGGCAACGAAGTTTTAACCCATTGGGGTGTCGGATCCCCCTAGCTCACCAAGTCGTCTAATAGAGACTATGTGATTTCAAGGACTCCAGTACACAGTAATTACCAGTTTAATTCCCACTACCTATTAATAAAAAAACTTCATTTCCCATGAAGCTCCGCGAGTCTCACCTTACGTAATTACGTAGGCTTTCGCCGCACTAGGACAAAATAATCCCTTCATTTTTCTGAAGGTATCAGGAATAATATTTCACTTTTCTCCTTACCGGAGTAATTTTAAATGTTACCACGTTAGGAGACGTTACCTATAAGGCGGTTTTTAAGCGATTAGGTAAAGAGAAATAAAGGATGACAAAATAAAGTGCTGCGGAGGAATTTCTGTCAAGCTGTGAAACGACGGAGTGCGAAGAGTGAAGGCGATTGAGAGGGGCTGAGGGAATTGTCCTCTGTGCAAGGGACTTTCATTAGGCCCCAGGCCCCTGCCTGCCCCTATCATCAGCAGGTCAGTAAGCAAGGCGAGCTTGGGGGTGGCCACAGTCGAGATGTCCTTCGCCCCTTGACGATCATCCCGCTTTTGCTGCTGTTATTGATTTGTCTTGTTTTGAGGTTAACAGAATGGGGGCGCCTTACTTCCGGTTGGGGGAGGGGAGGAATGCTGTCATGGGGGAGGGGGAACATAACACTTCCTGTGAGAGTAGGATGGTGGTTTAGGGGTGTCCAACCCACTTCCCGTGCTGGTGAGGGCCTGGAAAGGTGGTGCTTGGTATTATTTGCAGAGTTGTTATTTTAGAGCTTTGGGATTGTGTGTTATGTCAAAGTTAGGTTATTACACCAAGTTGTGCTGATCATCAGCCTCCAGGCAGATTTTTATGTTTGGTTTCCACTTGTAAGATGGAAAAGTACCTCCCCAACAAGTTTCTTCAAAGAATTCGAAACCCCTTGTTAAAATTCTGTTACCCGATGGACATACGCTTTTGTGTGACTCATGCATTGCCCACCCCTGCTTCCCTACTCAAATTCAACCTTGACTGAGTGAGATACAGTGTTCTCTGCCATAACCATGCAACAGAAACTCCGTATATATTCCTTGAAGGAGGTTTACAAAAGAACTGAATATCTCACAGTATAGGACATTTTCATTTTAGCAGGGGGGAAGTATACTGAAGTACTCAAATTTGATGTTACTTAAATTGACATAATTGGTATCTTTCGTTCTTAGACCTGTTGATTTGGGGCTACAGGTTTTGCCCTGTGCCTGGAAACAACTTCCTCAGCCTTAAAAATTCCTTGAGCCAGTGTGATGACTCTCCTGAAATCCCAAGGACTCAGGAAACTGAGGCAAAAGGATCACAAGTTCAAAGCCAGCCTCAACAACTTAGTGAGGCCCTAAACAACTTGGTGAGACCCTGTCTCCAAATAAAATATTAAAAGGACTGGGGATGTGGCTGAGTGTCTAAGTGTCCCTGGGTTCAATCCCCAGTACAAAAAAAAAAAAAACAACTATGTAGTTTAAATGTAGCTGCTGTGAAAGTTGTATTTTAATACAGTTTTCCCTTTGTAATTTAAAAAAAGTTGGCACTGATTTAAGAAATGATACCTATTCTTTGCAATTTTAAAGCATGTTGAAAGGGTCAGCTTACATTTTAAGGAGAAAATGGCTCACAAAAGATAAAAGATGAATAAGAAAAAACTATTTGCCTATATTCTCTATTATGTATAATAAACTATATAAGAGGTGGTAATGAACACTCAACAATTTTGATTCCTTGACTTCTCTTGTCAAGTACCAGTACTTGATGTATGTACTGGAAGGTACCAGTCTTTTTGGAGCTTGCTTTGTGAAATCACAGCACTTCTTTGGTATTTTAGGACATCTGTGAAGAAAACCTAGAACTGTAATGCCTTTCAAGAATTTTTAAAATAATAAGGCCAATGTGTTTTTTTCCTTTGGGATTGTTACACAATAACCACAAATATTGCAATTATTTGAATTCTAGTTCTTTTAAAAAGCTATTTGGTTTGGAGTTGGTTAGAAAATGTTTTAAATTAAATGTGAAAATTAAAATATTTTAACCCACAGACTTTTTTTAAAGTCAGTTTGATAGGCTCAGAATACCAGGTATAGTAAGTAGCACACACCTTTAATCCCAGCTACTTGGGATGCTCTGAAAGAAAGATTACAAGTTTGAGACCAGCCTGATCAATTTAGGCAGATGCCATTTCAAAGGAAAGTGGAGTGCTGGAGATGTAATAGCTTAGTGTTAGAACACCCTTGGGTTTAATCCCCGGTACCACAAAAAAATTAATTAAGCTAAAAATAGTAAAGGATAGGGTTTTAGCTCATTGATTGAGCACTTGCTTAGCACAGGAGGCCCTGAGTTCAATTCCTATATATATAGCTTTGTTTCTTAAAAACAGATCTGAAAGGACTATTGTGGTGTTGTGGCTTAGTGGTAGAGCACTCACCTAGCACGCGTGAGGCACTGGGTTCCATCCTCAGCTTCAAGTAAAAATGAAATAAAGATATTGTGTGTCCACCTACCACTAAAAAATAAATATTTTTAAAAAATAGGTCTGAAGGGCTGGGGTTGTGGCTCAATGATAGAGCGCTAGTCTTGCATGTGTGAGGCACTGGGTTCAATCCTCAGCACCACATAAAGATAAATAAATAAAGGCAATGTGTCCATATAATTTAAAAATTTTTTAAAAAAAAATACATCTGAGGCCCTAAAATCAAGTATCTTTTGAAAGACCACACAATTGCTGCAGTGATTGAAAAGGCAAGGCAAAATAATGTCTGTTATTACTAAAAGATGGTTAGAGGTGTGTAGACTGCCCCTAGTATGTATTGATTCATTAGAAATCATTCACTGTCTTCTATATTAGTGTAATATAGAAGAAAACATAGTCACCCTGACAAATTAAACTATAATAATCAGAATTGTTGAAGTGTGGAAACATTGTAGAACTAAATGAAAAAGAGAAAATGATGTTAAAATATTGATTGAGATGCTCTAGTACTGCCTTTTGGAAATGTCTTTAGAAAGCAAAGGAGTTTATTAAATTGGTTCTCATGATTTTCCATGGAAGAAATGCAGTAGAATAGAAAGAAGAAAAATTGCTGCAGCTGAAAGACTTGAGTGGCTTGAAGTACTGAATGTTAAGAAGAAAGTAATATATAAAGTACATATCTGGAAGAAGATGTTTTGTGATAAGTGACAGTTACTCATGGGTTCTTCAAAGAAGAATATTAGAAAAGCTTGTGAAAAATAGAGAAAGTCTATGGAACCGGTTTGTATTCTTTTTACAAAGGTGTTTCTGTGAAGAGGCTTGCTGTCTTCCAAAGGTGTGTTGTTGTTTCTTACTGTCCTTTGCAGAATTTTCATTGCACCTTCCCTTAGAAACATAGTGTCAAATCAGAGAAATAAAGATTTTTGTAAGTATACTCTGTTATTTCTTTGAGTTAATGAATTAGAGATTTTCATTCTGTGACTTCTCATCTATAATAAAGAAATTATTGATATTTTTTAGGGCACTTAGATTAGATAACCATTGTCTTTTCCAAAAGCAGTCATTGGATACACTGTTGAGAGCAGTTAGAAGTCTTAAAACTCTAGATTCCATCTCACTGAAATTTGATTATCTGCAGAGAACTTATACATAATACAAAAGTGTCTTCTCATTGTTCTGTCTGCCTATTCTGTAAAATCACACTAATATTTTACATCTTACTGCTTTCTCACTTGATGTTTTGGTAACAATTAGTTTTTTGTTTGGGCCATGGAGTTAAAGGAAGTATCTTAACAACCTTAATGTTTCTCCCTACCTCCACCCCTGTGCCACACTAGGAATTGAACTCAGAGGCATTTTACCGCTATGCTGCAACCCCAGCTCTTTTTATTTTTTATTTCAGCCGGGGTCTTACTAAGTTTGCCCTCAAACTTATATTCCTCCTCCCTCGGGTGTGCACCACCTCACTCAGCATTAAATGGTTTTTAAACTTATTGCTCTGCCCCCTTTATTTCAAGGATTTAAAGGGTATGCAAATGAGAATTCCCATCCATGACTTTTCATTATTTCAACAAAAATTGAGTGCCTACTGTGTGCCAGTCACTGTTACTGGGACTCAAATACAATTTTACAGACAAATATCCATATTCTTTTGGAGTTTGTTTCTTGGTAGTTTACAAGTCAAAACTAGAATTTTGTTCCCTCACTATTCCTAAATGAGATCTATTTTGAAATCATTGTTCATCTTGGATCAAGATGCCGCTGTTACAGCTCAGTGGTAGAACGCTTGTGTAGCGCGTTTGAGGCCTTGGGTTTGTTTCTCAGCATGGCATATAAATAAATAAAATAAAGGCCCATTGACAACTGGAAAAATAATAAAAGGAAAAAAGAATTTTAAAAAAATGCAGCCGTGGCTTAGCATGGTGGTGCACACCTGTAATCCCAGCAGCTCAGGAGCCTGAGGCAAGAGGATCATAAGTTCAAAGCCAGCCTCAGGAAAAGCAAGGCGCTAAGCAACTCAGTGAGACCCTGTCTCTAAATAAAATACAAAATAGGGCTGGGGATGTGGCTCAGGGATTGAGGGCCCCTGAGTTCAATCCCTGGTACCCAAAAGAAAAAAGTGCATCTATGAATTTGATTTTTGATCTCAGTCTCTAAGTCATTTTAAACCCAGCTTGGAATATTTCAGCCCAATTTTTCTCCGGACCATATAAACTCCTGGGTTAAGGATTCAGCCCTTTCATTGACACATGCATCATGATTCTAGCTTCCCTTGTACTATATAAACAAGTAAGAGTGAACAGTGGGGAAAATAGGGAATCGGGCAGGCCTAGATTCAAAACTGGTTTTTACATTTTACTAGTGTGGTAACTTTAAGCAATTTACTTAATCTCCCTGGGCGTCAGTTTACCTAAATTTAAATGGGGGGAGGGTGGTAAAACAAAAATACGTAAATCACCTGGTTCAATTCAAATGCTAGGAAGTTAATAAATGCTATTATTTTACCCTTACTTTTACTTTGGCTATTCAGGATATTGGGATTTGCCCACTTTTCTGATGTTTTTTGGGGGAGGTGTTTTTGTTTGTTTGTTTTTCTCCTCCTTTTGCAGTATTAGGGATTAAATCCAGGGCCTTGAGCATGCTAGGTAAGCACTTTTACCATTGAGCTACCTCCCCAGCCCCTTCCCCCATGTCATTGAAGCCTTATTTATTCCAAAAACATGAAATACATTGTTAGGCTCATTGAGAGTCTGGATTCTCCTTCTATCAGCTCTGCGTTCTCCTTCTATCAACATGTTCACCTAGTTGTCAAGATTTTGTTTGTTTCTTGTGGGAAGAAGAAAGCACTAATTTCCAATGATTAGCTTAGAAAATATACATAATAGAAAAGTTTCAAGAAAAAAGCCATCACTAAAATAATTTGAATTGTTACAGGAAGACTTTCAACTCATTTTCTTAAATCTATTTAAATACAAGCCCTTTTATACTATG